GCAGGCCTGCGGCAGTTAATCGAACGCGGGCTATAGTACTAGAGCTACCCTAACCCTAACCATAATCCTAACCATAAGCCAACACTAACACTATCTATGGTGTATGACCACATACGCAACGCATGTATGCAGGGGCGTCACAGCCGTAGGGCTGCCATAGCAAAACGCTACGGGCCCCCAGCCTAAAGGGCAAAAAATCATAAATCTAAAGGGTAAATAGCGTTTTAGAGCGTCTAGATTTAAAAATTAAAAATTAAGACCCCCCCCCTCTTCACACTAATTCCTACCTCCGTCACTCGTCCCGTACGGCTGCGGCATGCTACGTGAACAGCGCATGCGCAACAACTGCTCGGACGAATAGCGTATGCGAACAGGTGTCCGATGCTCGGACGAATATCCACGTCGTTTGTTTATATACTGCTTACATAAGTTACAGTATGACTTGGCTCCAAGAATTAGTCCTTGCTAGGGTTAGGGTAGCTCTAGTACTATAGCCCGCGTTCAGTAACTGCCGCAGGCCTGCGGCAGTTACTGAACGCGGGCTATAGTACTAGAGCTGTCCCCTAACCTTGTGTATATTGACGTTAGTCACACAGCCTGGTTGGGTTACAGTATGGCTATGACTATGAGTAGCGAGTAATGCTCCATACTTAATTCGTACTAGTACTAGTACTACTACTAGTACAGTAGTAGTATCGTTGTAGCCCCTTTGCTCCTGCTACAGTAGGCCTACAGGTGTCTGCTGTTCTGTAGCTGGAGTGAAGGGGCTACACTGGTAGAGCTAGTACTCCGCTACTCGTAGTAACCCCCAAGCGTCCATGTGTTTTTAAATTGGTTAACTTAGTACTGAACTGATATCTGGCGCTCCATATTATGTCTACTGTACATATAGAGGGATAGCTGACTTGATGACCCTATGGTCTTTCGCTACCCCTTCGCCCTTCAAAATAATGTTTTCTGCATCATTGTATTTTTGCAAATTATGGTGATAAATAAATTTGTTGAATTGAATTTGAATTGAATTAAATTGAACGCAGGCCATTTATTTAGGGCCCTATATATTCAGATCAATCGCTGTCATACTATACTAGTACATCATCTCTGTTGTGCGGTGTAGTGTCCCGCTGGGATTGAACAAAATAATTCCTTTGAGTCTCGTTGTCCCCTTGTTGCCTAACGAGTAACTGGCACAAGAATCTATCGATTCTATTCTCAAAACTTTGAGGGAGTTACCTAGTCTTGCCCTTTTATCTTGCTTTAGTTTCAGGAGTTTCGTTATCTGGATTGTTTTGCCTCCGTTTCAGGATTTTAAACATCTATCATTATCATATCCACTCTGGTGCGTGACGGCAGTTTCCTCATCCTGACTTCCTTACTCATCTCCTTCATGTCTGGCAACTGTTTTGAGAGCCTATTAGACTTGTTCCTAACAACCTGTGTAAAATCCACCACGAACCCATAAATCTAACAGTAGGTGGTGGGTGTGGCATGCAGAGTTGTAAGTACCAACAGTTACACTTAGTGACCTAACCCCCAGTTAGCCATAACCACTAATTATGCTTGATCTTAGCATATAACAATTTATACCTACTTATATGTAGTATATACAATTTACAGGCATCGGAAAACCAGCCACTTTTCTAACTCGTGGTTCAAGATGGAAGAAATCCCTTTCAAGGTTGTAACCCGGAAGAGAAGGGCGAGGAATGCTACAGCATGCGAACCAAGGAACAAGAATCATGGTATTGCGGATGATGAGGAATCACATGTACACACTACAGTGGAACACGAAGTTGCCGTGGATGTACTGTCAAAGAAAGTTTTACAAGAAAGGTGATGCCTACAGTTAGTTTTGTGTTGCAGATACATATAGTTCAGCACATATAGCAATACTAAACAAATTCCCAAATGAACAATATATATTATTAGTTTTGAATGTTTGAAGATTGTTTTTGTTAATTTGTGTTTTACAGAGTTGATCTTCTCTGCAGTGACTTTGTGGCCAGATACATGCACGATCTCCATCTGGCTCTGCGTACAAGTCGCTCCTACCTTTCAGAACCTAGCATCGACAGCTGCTGCCCTCTACTGGACCATAATAATGGTTCTGAGGAAGATTGTCCTCCAGCCAATTCAGAGCTAGGCTCTTGTCGGATACGTGCTGATGAAAGCAGGCACGAAGACACAAGCAAAGTTGCTTCGATGGAGGCACTCTCAGTTGGCGTAGATGAACTAGGAATTACTGAGATAGTCTGCTATGGCCTTGGGCACGTCTCATCATGTCCCATTGCACGTCTGCAACTCTGTTTGCTTTCCATAATGAGGGAGCTACTACAGGTGTGCACACCTATGAGCACTAGTTTGCTTGAGCCTTAATTAGCATGTTAGTTAAATTTCTGTGCAATGTTGGCTGCATGACAACATAGCAGATCTGCGAAAATACGATTTGATAGGTTACTGTTTGATGGTTTTGATGTGATGTCCACATGAAAGTGAAAATTGTGCTTTTGGTTCATCCTCCATGTTGTTGTGAACATACTGCCTAGTGTGACCTATTACTTTGCTTTGTTTACTTGAAGGTTAAATGTATTGCTTTTGATCCAATTTTCACTGCATCTGAGAAGGCGTATCTGACACAGCAAGGAATATCGCTCATAGAAAAGAATGAGGTAAAAATATTTTAGTGTCCTCGTGAAATCACATCTATAGAAAAGTATCTAGCATTATTATTATGTTCAGTCTTGTTAAAGAGAACACACATAAGTTCAGTCACGTAGAGCCTCCTTGTAAGGGCTATTTGATATGTCTGCTTGCAATACCTCACACTAATGATGGTAATGTGATTGTTTAGGAAGGAAGGAGGCGGGCTTGCAATGGGGGAACCCTGTTCTTCATGCCACATTGTGACAAGCCACTCTATAGCAATCTGCTGTGTGCGAACTGGGAACCAGAGCACCTGTCACGCGTAATTCTCGTAGGCAACAGTTTTCGCAACATGGCCGAGAATCTGCCTTGTAGAAAGTTGCAAGAACTAGCGCCTTTTGTGTTGAAGGTAGTTATTACATAGTGAAGTTGTTACATATAAGATATTGAAAAGATCTGTTGCGTCACCTCAGCTAGGTAATTACAAGTTTATCACTGAAAGTAGAGCGATTCATGCCGCCACGGAGGATATAGTAGTGTGTGTAGAGATGCTAGTCTGCTGTAACGTTGTGTGAGAGCTACACGGACCGCACAGGCGAGTTTGGCTGCTATGCTTATGCTGCTCTCTATGGGCCGAAATTGAGTATTACTGATCTCCGGCCCGTAACATAGATAACGTACCAACTGAGTATTCAGATTGGTTGGAGTTTTGTTATTGTAATGGTGTAAAAGATAACTTAGTCTTTACATGTTTGTTCTGCTTTAGTTTCAGTTGCAAAGATAACTTTTTATAGAGAACAAATTACATCTGCAAGATGGATAATGATTTTGTTTGTTTTGTTTTGACTGCATTTCATTGGTGTGCAGGTACTGCCCCACGTTGTGGAGATCCCAGTTAAGAACAACCATCGGTTCAACGACGTTTTCAACGACCTGTCGATCCACATCTTTCCAGGGGAGAGACTTAAACGGCTGCCATGTGTATTCTGGGATAGCGTGCCGGACAATGGCTCTTTCGGCAAGGTGAATGGGTAGCACAGGTGACAATTCAGTGTGACAGTCGGTCGAGTGATTAGACCTTTCATCTGTGCACCTTCACAGGTGTAAACTGATAGTTACGACTAGTCTGTGCGCAGTTTTTAAACTTGGAACACCATAAACTTGTCAGTGTTGCTTTGTTATATTGTAGTAGTGTTGATAATAAAAAAGTGTTCAGTTAACTACTTAATCAATAGTTTCACCAAGTTTGTTTCAGTTTTGTAGTGTGTCAGCACGCACGATCTGTTTCTTTTGGCTAGAGAGAGACAGAGAGAGTTTGTTGGAAACCCTTACACCGCACAAGTAGCCTATGAACTGTAGAATACTATAAGCAATAAGTCAATAATAAAAACATACTACATAATTTTTGCATTTTAAGATAATTATTTTTTTCAAAATAGAATACATCACAGATGTTTTATTTAACTAATGTTTGCCTTGTGAAAAATGTATTATAAGGTTCACTTTTGACAGTTCTCATTTTCTAGTTTCAGGGTAGTATCATCATGTAATTTCATGTAGTACATAGTACCCAGCCATGAGATCAAGGGTGGCATGCTTATGTAAATTACTCGTAATTAGAACCCCATGCTCACACATTTTCATTTTTCACCAGGCTAAATACATTACCAACATAAACTTACAGCACTTAACTACAATTCACCAACAATACACCAAAATATAATTTCAGGGTATTATCACCATTTTATATTCAATATTTATTGTGCAATAGCTTAATAAAAATATAATTATTTAAAAAACGAGTGCATATTGGCCCATTCTATTGACCAAGATATTTCTCAGTATAGAAGCCAAGTACAAGTCAATCACTGTATAACAGCAATGAACAAACATTGTTCATGGCAAGCTTTCTCTATACAGACAAAGTATATAAGCTGCAGACATAAATAATTCAAGTTGACTATTTACATATTTACAAATTATTTAATTCTTATTTTGGATTAAAATGTCAGCTCGTTCCCTTTTAAAAATTCCTATAGAAATGCACAGCAAAATTTCCATGAAATTATCTCCTAATCATCATTGCAAAGCATTTCCATGTCTGGAAAACTTTACAAGTATATCTGACTGGAATTTCCATTTCATAGTAGTGTTCACAACTTTATAGCAAGTTGAACTACAAATATGAAAGACAGGCCTTTGCATAGATATTTGTCTGTCATCCTTTACTAGAATACAAGTCTATTCACACAAAGCTCATAAGGCAGCCACGGATATATTGCCTCTTGCCAACCCAGCGCTTAATGATAGGCCACCTATAGGCCATCACAAACAGTTCACATCGGCATAAAAAGCACCTCAAGCCAATCAGATCTTGAAGGTCAATGGAGTCAGCACGCGTGACCTCTCAGGATCGAGTGGAGAATCTCCCGTGTTTCATACCTCCCCAATCATTGCAGCATAACGTGGAGCAGAGTGAAGCCTTGATTGGTATCGCGGGGTAAAACCATGTACTCCTGTTGCTACCCTTCTTCATGCTTAATTGCTACCCACCTCAGCAACAGTAGCAATGCTGGGTTTTGATGCGCCAGCAATGTCATCTGCAATGAAGCAAAATTCCTACCGATAAGCCCACATCATAACTTCATAAGTACAAAGTAATAATCAAGAATATTAAAAAAAATTACTTTAATTAATTGAAATTAAAACTTTGCAATAGTTGCTGGCGTTTGCCACATGAATATTCACAACTCGGCTTCAAGATTCAAAAAAAAAGATTAAAAACATTTATAATAATTAAATTAAAAATTCAATAATTTATTTTCCTGCGACCAAGACTTTGGGAATTTTAGTGCACCTATATAGCTGCGGCACCGATTTGGTTGGGTGGTTAAAAAAAACTGTGTACGCCGACAAGAAAGCGCGCATGCGCACCACGACCATATCGCCAAGCTAAATATAGAAACTCTGCCCAGCATCTGCGCTTACATTGTGAAAATCTTATGTAAAATTATACGCGCATATACGATTGTAACGATCGCGATCGTATACTTACTGTGAGTATAGTGCCGATATGCACTCGACTGGAGAGATCCTATAATTCCTCGACATCTAGGTCCAAGTATTCGTGACTAGACGTCTCAGAATTCGTCCTGATCTTTACTCGCAGGACTTTCTTTGCCGGCAGCCCTACCAGTCGTAGCGTCAGAGGCGGACTGCTCGCGGTGGCCCGAACCTCTGGCGAGATAGCCGTCAGATATGGATTTTCCAGTGCTTGCCGCTTCACGGCCTCCTCAAAACCTGCGAATTTCTTGTACTCCATTTCGGCAGGTAGGATATGCGGTAAATCGTCCTTCTAGCGGTTGCACGATTCGAGTTCGTAAATATATTCTCAGCTTGTTTTCGTGGCGAGGGTAGCGGTGCGCCGCTTTATATACGCGGACCGGTTCGTAGCAGATGCGGGTGTGTCTGACTAAGTTGCCTCTGATTGGATGGCTGCGATAAGATCAGAGCTGCCGTGGCCCCGTAATCGGTATGGCGTACCGCAGGGTGCGTGTGGCGGTGACTCGGCTTCCCTTTAAAGGCATAATTCGACCATCGATTATGCAAAGTTGACGAATGCTACAGTAACTGGCACCTTGTGTAGTTAATAAGTACATTACCTTATAGCCAAACGCGTATTA